ATGTCTCCTGTTTAGCATACGAATTCTTTATTGCTAAGCCACCTGGGAAGACACAAAAGACTGGATATACTTGGGGTAATTCCAATAAATAGATCTGGGCAGAGACTAAAGATAAAGGAAACCAGATTTACACCCCAAAATATGCCTCTTTGACATATAAATTATTTTGAGCTGAAGGCAACTAGGCAATTGAGAAGCAACAGATATAAGAAAAGCTCCTGCTCTCTCTCAATTTGCCTAAAAGGAGATAACTTTCTAAAGATGTTCTTCCTCCCGTCTCTATCAGGGAAGACAAAAGGGAATCATTGAGACAATGTGAGACACTGTAGGCCTGAAGACAGCAGCAGAAGACTCCATATAACAGTCTACTAACTAGCCTGTATCTATCATTAGTTTTCACATGTATTTACATTCCCACCATCTGCCACTTTTGGAAGCCTAAAACTACTTTCCCTTTTTCCTTCTCTTGTTGTTCAGTCGCTCAGTCATGTTCAACAGTTTACAATCCCATGGACTGCAGCATGCCATGCTTCCCAGTCCTTCACCTATTTTTCTTCCTATTTCTCTACAAATGTATTGTTCTTCATTTTAGGTGACACACAAGCCAGAGTTCTAAGCCACTTCTCTGAGTTACTCATTTTTCTGAGTTTCTCCCACATGTGTATGAGATATACATGTTAGTGAACTTCTGTTTGTTTTTCTTGTGTTAATCTATTTTGTTGTTGTTGTATGGACCCCAGTTAAGAACTTAGAAGGATAGAAGGAAAGGTTATTTTCCCTCCCCAACACAGACAAAGCCAAAGATGTGAGCTCAACTTCTATTTGGCTCTCTGTAGGAAAACTCTTCCCACCGTGCCCAGAGCATGTGCCTGGAAGTCACATGCTCATATCGATGGGACCATGAGACAGATTTCCTGGGAGCCCTCTGTATCTGCTATGGCTAAATTAAAACCACTCACAGCCTCCTGAGGATGCTGCAGTCCTAGGAGTTCCCTCAGGGTCTTTTTCTCCAAGGGTGGTGGTCTGGCAAACAAAAGTTGCAGGGGTAAAGAGCACAAACGAATATTTACAAAGAATCCAGCTTTTGGCTACAGAACTGAATCCAGCTGGAGGTCAGCCAAGTTCCTCCTGCTCTGACACAGGGCTCACCTGCACAAGCCTGGCTCCCGCCTCCAGAGCAGCCAAAGGCAGTGCTACATCCCTTCCTGCAGGCCTCATAAACATTATGTAGTGGGGTGACCTTGCGATTCTCCTACTCTGTTCTGAAAAAGGCAAATCTTCTAGAAGACGCCCCCGAAGTAATTTGTTTCATCTTACACTCATTCAACAGCTATGACAGCCGGAAAAAATTAGCAGGCCTCCAGTCCTTTGCTGCTTGTTTATAATAAGAACATATGCTTGCAGGGAACATAGAATCCTAAACAAAAATTGGTACTTATTTGACCAGATTAAATTTCCAGTTTGAAACCTACACTATTGGTTTCACAACACAAAACCACTCGTGACCTCCTGAGTGAAAAGGCAGGGTGACTGTGATAACAAACCCATCCTTCATTCACAGAAGCAGAGGTTTCCTTGTTTATATTTTACAGTGATCACCCTTAGCAAAGAGCATACAAAGCCACAGCCCCACGCTTCTGTTCTGAGACTGGAGTAACCACCACAGAAGCCAAGGTGTTAGGCATCTGGACCCTCCCCGCTCAGGAGGCAGGTCACTGGGGAATGCTGAAGTCAACACCCCTTAGGAGGCACTGTAATTAGCTGCAGCCCAGAGCCTGATTGTGAAGGAAAGAAAAGCTTCTCCCCATCACAAATCAGAACATTTTTCCAGCTTTCCCAATGGGTTGCCAAGTGACTCAGCATTGGCCCAGTGTGGGCACTATTATTGATGAGAAATCTTCCGCCTGGGTGATATACTGCATACAACACATGCCCAAAGAACAGTGCCAAGTCATACCAGGAAGAGCAGGCGAATTATTCACCTCCACTTCAGATGCAGGCAAATCCTGTCTTAATGCAGGGGCTACTCAGTATCAGAAAGACAAAGCCCCTAAGATAGTCAGAGATTTCCAACTAAGATTCAAGGCATGATTAGGTAGAGCCTCTTCTTTCTTGTTGACTATTAAAAGGCAATCAAATTGAGGACAGCCTAGCAAAAAGACAAGAAAAAGAATAATTTTTCAAAAACAACCCCAAAGCAGAAAGCTGCATAAAAGCCTTCAGCTTCCTAAATGTTGTCTTTATGAGTTCTACGAGCTCCACCCAGAGGTCATTGCCAGATCTGCAGGTTCACTTAATTTAGAAAAGAAAATCTCATCTTCTGGGGTCCAGAGCCAGACCTGCCTTGGAAAACAGCTGGAAATTCTTAGACAATGTTCCTTCTTTCTTGCCTTTAATTAAAGGAACTGCTCTGAGCTCTGAAATTCAAGATATGCTCCAGGAACCTGGTGTCATCCAACAGGACAACTACCTTTGATATTTGCACCTGTTGAGGAACTAGTGTGAGTTCCTGCCAGGCTGAACTCAGCTCAAAGACAGCAGAGTGTTCAAAGAGTACTTTCATAAGAAAAGGTGAGGGTTCTCCTTGAAATAAAATATAAGACTGGAGAGCAACTCAGAGGGTGAACAAGAATGTGTCTAATATTAGAAGGACTGAGAATAATCCTCCTTCAAGAAGGACCCATGACTACTTGCCCAGAGGGCCCAACTATAAGGCAACCACTCCCTTACACAACCCCAAAGACAGCCCATAAGGCAATCACCAGCCATACTTTTCAAAGAACTGACTGCAGTCCCCAGAGCATTCCCTTGGTATCTAGCCATTCATAACCCACACACCCCACTCCAACCCACCCCCAACACCAGTGACTCTCAGTCCACAATGGTTCAGGCTAGGATCAAGAGCTCCCACTGTGCTGTGCCCTCAACTGCCCAGTGTAAGACATGCTCTGTTTCAGATATCATATCATAAGCTAGCCCAGGAACTAAATAAAGCCTTCAAACAACAATGACATGTTGGTGCAAAAAGTTTCATCAACCATCTGGAGAGCTTCTCATCACAGCCCATGTGCTCCTCCTGCCTTCATCAGCATGTGCCTAACCTGACTTCAGACAGATGTGACAAATTCTCAAACAGGAAAAAACAATCAAACTCACCCTCTGTCTTCCTCAAACACCACTGCCCCCTTCCTCCCCCAGCAAGTTCTTTCTTCACTATAAACACTAAACAGGCTTTTCATGTCTATTGACAAAAAATATCTATGGCAGTGTTTATTCATCTTAGGAGTATTAAAGCTCTAGAAAATATCTGTGCTAAACCTCGGCACATTCTCATTTCAACCAGGCTAAGCATTCCCAGAATGGTACCCTCTTTTTTTGTTAAATAGACTTTATTATGTAGAGTAGTTTTAGTTCAGTTCAGTCACTCAGTTGTGTCCGACTCTTTGCAACCCCATGGACTGTGGCACGCCAGGCTTCCCTGTTCATCACCAACTCCCAAAGCTTGCTCAGATTCATATCCATCGAGTCGGTGATGCTGTTCAACCATCTCATCCTCTGTCATCCCCTTCTCCTGCTGCCTTTAATCTTTTCTAGCATCAGGGTCTTTTCTAAGGAGTCAGTTCTTCACATCAGGTGGCCAAAGTATTGGAGCTTCAGCTTCAGCATCAGTCCTTCCAATGAATATTCAGGACTGATTTCCTTTAGGATTGACTAGTTTGATCTCCTTGAAGTCCAAGGAATAGTTTTAGGGTCATAGCAAAATTGAGCAGAAAGTACAGAGTTCCTACATAACGGCCAGCCAGTACATACACACAACCTCCCCCATTATCAATATTCCCCACCAGAGTAGGACATCCATCGCAATCAATGAACCCGCATTGACACATCGGTATCACCCAGAGTTCACAGTTTACATTATGGTTTGGACAGATGTACACTGATATGTAACTACCATTATGGTATCATACAGAGTCGTTTCCCTGCTATGAAAACCCTTTCCCCCTTTGTCCCTTGACCATAACGCAAAAAAATGTTTTGCTCAGCATGAATCAGTATGACTCTAAGCAGTGTTCCCGAGGCCTGCCAGAAGATAAGAATCACCAGGGAGACTGATTACTATCACAAATGTTCAGACTGCACCCTCAATCCACTGCGTCAGACCTTGCTAGGAAGGGGCCTGGAAAGTTATAGCTGGTCCATGGACCTAAAGAAGAAACGCTCCTAAGTGCAGTCTCCAAGCAGAAGAGCAGCCTCTGTTAAGAATGTTGCAGGCATTTCCTATCCATGTGAGCTCCAGCTCCATCAGAATACCTAGAATTCAAGATGGGCCCCATTCTTTATTTTCAAACAGCCAGGCTGCTGCTACTTTTCTCACTTATTCCTTTATCTTGCTGCATGGTACCAGAAAGTTTTACAAGGGCAAGCAAGTGTCTGCTTCTATTAGGAAACATGTTTGTATTCCTACACAATGGTCTACCATTTATAAGCATGCTATTTGGATCATTTGCACAAAATGATGGGTCAGGAAGTAGATCTGCTTGGTTACAGTGAAGTATCTGCCTGAGGACACTAGCGCACATGGCGCGTGGAGCAGAAGGACACACGGCCAATATGGGTTTTTCTTCCTTGTGCCTTGAGGGCTCTTCTGCCAGCTGCTCCCCCTGGCTCCCCACTGCTCTGCATTCTGCCCTAGCCAATGATGGTTTAATGGCAAAATTCACTGGGCAGCAAGCCATGTGGCTCTTACAGCCGGCAATTAGGAGAGAAGGAAAGGTTGAATTACAAGGTGTTTGAAACTGCAGTTCGAGTAAGTCAGATCTTATTTTCTCTTACCTCCTGGGAATAAAATATCCATATTCATCGCAAAACAGATACCTAACTCTGGGGTCATTTGGAGTCAATGGCTCAGTCAATATAAAAATCCACCATACAGTTGATGGGGAGCATGAAAATCCATTAAACCAAAAGTCATATTTTTTTTTATCCAAAGGAATCCTTACCTTTTCTTTGGCTTTCCTTTTTGTCCCTGCATCCATCCACTCATTTTCTTTCTCCAGCATGTCAATAAAGGCCCATCGAACACCCTCAATCAATTCCTCCATCTATAAGAAAATACCCAAAGAAGCAGGTCAAAACCAAGAAGCTTCAGACAAGGTTTTCTGGGCCATGATAAATAGTCCAATGCTAAACACAGTGGACAAGAAGCTCCCTTCAGATTCACTACATGCCCTGGCAGAATTTCTTCTTTTAGGGAAATGCCTTTTTCCCCCACTGCTAGAAGAAAACTAACCATTTGTTCCCTTAAGAACAATGTGATGGCCCGGTCATAAAAGGATTATATGGGAAGAGGAATTCACCATAGGTTGTGATTAGTAACTTACCTGTAGCTACTAAAGGAGTCCACCCTTATCAAGGATGCAACTAATTTCAGTAAGCTAATAAGAATTTTAGGGGAACAAGAATGGGCTCCATATTTCAGACAGGTATTGCAGAAGAAAGTGAGTGAACCATTGAAAGAGATACTGTTAACAGAGAAATAGGCAGGAGAGCCAGCACACTAAAGGATATTTCTCAACATAAAGCAGACTTCTGTCAGGACCCCAGTTCTCTCCACATTAGTGCCAGGGGTTAAACCAAATGCTTGGCTGTTCTCTGTCCTCTTCCTACTCCCCTTCTCCTCTCTGACAGCTCTGGAAAGTCTTCTGTTGTTTCAAGTCTAAAATGGTAGGTCTAAAGGGGGCTGCTACAGAAATTCTGTCTTCTGAAAGACCTGTTGCAAAGTGTTCCAAGGGTTCGACAACACCCACATCGATGATGTGTTTGCCCTGGTTTTTCCTCCAGCATTTGTGGGTCAACAGAGAAGACTGGGGGAGAGATGCTAACATTTAACTTCAGTGGCCCACATGGAGCAATCTGGAGAGGCCCTGCCTGTCTATGGGTACAAATCAATCGAAATTCCACTTTCCTACAAAGATGCTTCAGTTTTCCTAAAAGGATACTCAAGAAAGAATAAAATACTAGGTTCAGCACCAGAATGAAAATTTTCATTTGAGACTATGGAGTTGTAAACCCATTTTTAGCATTAATTCTAGAAAGAAGTTTAGATGTTTCCTTGGTTCTATAATGAATTGTCAGCACGGAGCTCAAAATAATTTTTTTCTGTTTAATAAGTTTTCAGCTATGTTTTCAGTTCAATAACAGTTGTAAGGGAACGAGAGCTGGAAATCAATGGGCTGGGTTCCACCATATGTAAATAAGAACAAACAGCAGATGGAGGGGGGTACTTCACAGCTATTTCTTCCCAACTTAGTAAAAACATTAAAAGAAAAGAAATCTCAACTTGAGACTGGGGCACAATGAAGACATGAAATGACAGAAGAGCAAAGGTCCTTTAAAATCATTAAGTCACTGGTTCTCACTGTTGTCTGTACACTGGGATCTTGGGGAGGGAAGGTGGACTAGGAGGGATTTAAACAATGCTGCTGTCATTGTTGCAGGGTGAGGCCTGAGCACTGGGAGGTTTAACACCCGCACCCCCTGCCCAGGTGATTCTAATGTGTAACCAGGATGAAGACTCACTGGTGGAGAAGAAGCCACTTATGCTACAGATGAGGAAGTTAGCAGTCAAAAGAGCCCATGATCTCTTCCACCCAGCTCTTCCAGCTAGGAAGGGTCAGAGCCAGGACCTGACCTTAGAGGTAAAGACAGTACTGAGGCCAGGAACTCATGAATCAGAGGAAATGTTCCTCACAAATCAGAGGAAAATGTCAGAAAGGTAGAAGAAAACCAAGAGACATGCAGCAGGGACCATTTCAAACCAAAAACGCACAGAAGGAGGATGCTGAAACAAGGAAATCTTCAGGAACTAGATCTTTTGCCTCTGCAGTCACAAGCACCCCTGAGTCTTTATGACATCACTGCAGGGGAGCAAAATTTGCCCCCTAAAATATGTCTCTTTCCCATATCAATTGTTTTAAGCTGGTTATTTTTGGAGGAACAGAAGACAGAAGAAGGGACCTGGTGGTGATCAAAATCATCTCCAAGAAAAAGAAATGCAAAAAGGCAAAATGGTTGTCTGAGGAGGCCTTACAAATAGCTGAGAAAACAAGTAAAAGGCAAAGGAGAAAAGGAAAGATGCCAATCTGAATGCGGAGTTCCAAAGAATAGCAAGGAGAGATAAGAAAGCCTTCTTAAGTGAACAATGCAAAGAAATGGAGGAAAACAACAGAATGGGAAAGACTAGAGCTTTCTTCAAGAAAATTAGAGATACCAAGGGAAAATTTCATACAAAGATGGGCTCAATAAAGGACAGAAATGGTATGGACCTAACAGAAGAAGAAGATATTAAGAAGAGGTGGCAAGAATATACAGAACTGTACAAAAAAGATCTTAATGACCCAGATAACCACGATGGTGTGATCACTCACCTAGAGCCAGACATCCTGGAATGTGAAGTCAAATGGGCCTTAGGAAGCATTGCTATGAACAAAGCTAGTGGAGGTGATGGAATTCCAACTGAGTTATTTCAAACCCTAAAAGATGATGCTGTGAAAGTGCTGCACTCAATATATGCCAGCAAATTTGGAAAACTCAGCAGTGGCTACAGGACTGGAAAAGGTCAGTTTTCATTCCAATCCCAAAGAAAGGCAATGCCAAAGAATGTTCAAACAACTGCACAATTGCACTCATTTCACATACTAGCAAATTAATGCNTGCAGCCATGAAATTAAAAGCCACTTGCTCCTTGGAAGAAAAGCTATGACAAACCTAGACAGTGTGTTAAAAAGCAGAGACATCACTTTGCCAACAAAGATCTGTCTAGTCAAAGCTATGGTTTTTCCAATAGTCATATACAGATGTCAGAGTTGGACCATAAAGAAGGCTGAGCACTAAAGAACTGATGCTTTTGAACTGTGGTGCTGGAGAAGACTTTTGAGAGTCCCTTGGACAGCAAGATTAAACCAGTCATGCCTGAAGGAAATCAACCCTGAATATTCATTGGAAGGACTGATGCCTGAAGCTCCAATACTTTGGCCACCTGATGTGAAGAGCCAACTCATTGGAAAATACCTGGATGCTGCGAAAGATTGAGGGCAAGAAGAGAAGTGGTCGGCAAAGTATGAGATGGTTAGATAGCATCACTGACTCAGTGGACATGAGTTTGAGCAAACTCCAGGAGATAGTGAAAGACAGGGAAGTCTGATGTGCTGCAGTTCTTTGGGTTGCCAAGAGTCAGACATGACTTAGCAACTAAACAATAACAACATGGTGTCCTTCAGTAGGTGACTGGATAAACAAACTGTACTACATCTAGAATATGGAACATTTTTCATTGCTAAAAAGAAATGAGTATCAATCCATGAGAAGGCATGGAGGAACCCTAAGTACCTATTACTAAGTGAACCTTAAATGCATATTACTAAGTGAAAGAAACCAATCTGAAAAAGCTACATACTGTATGATTTCAATGATATCACATTCCAGAAAAGGCAAAAAAAAAAAAAAAGATCAGTGGTTGCAGGGTAGGTGTAGGGAGAGATAGAGAGGCAGAGAACAGAGAATTTTTAGGGCAGTGAAAAAAACCATATGGTATTAGAATGATAGACTCATGTCAAAATACATTTGTTCAAACCCACAGAATGTTTAACACCAAGAGTGAACTCTAAGGTAAACTATATACCTTGGGTGATGTGTCATTGTAAGTTCACCTTTGGTTTAGGAAAAACTGAGTGATGTTAATGGCAGAAACTGCATGTGAAGGGAGGCAGGAGTGTTTGGTAGCTGGTCAGACATGAGCAGGTTCCACCCCATCCTGGATGGTTCATCTTTCCCTCCACCACCTGAACACTGGTGGTCAGAGCACGTTCAGAGAGCCTCCCTTTTGAGACCAAGGACCATCACTAGGTTTCCAGCCATATCAGCACCAAGCAAGACAAAATCGCCAGCAGAGGTTGGTGCAGGTGCGCCAAGACCTAAAAGGTGACTCACAGTAACCCAGGGCTCATTATGTCATATTCATAACAAATTAGCATTGCAGTTTTTGCCCCTGCTCCCCACGGGTTTTGCTTCAGTGCTTATGGATAAGTGTCTGCCTAATAACACTCTTACTACTTAAAACTACTCAATGCCTCTTGACTGAAAGTTCTCCCTTGAGAAGGGCAAGAACCAAGGAAATCACCGTTCAGCAAAATCTCTACACCTTCCTCTCAATTTCATTGTTGATGGAGAGACTATGCCATCCCAAAATATGTCTCTCTGGCTTAAGGATTATCTTGAATTGATTACTTTTAAGAAACCACATACAAAATAAGCTGCAAAAAATAAGAGGTTACCCTCTAGGAAGAAACATTTGCATTTATAAGGGCAACTGGCATTTGTAAGGGTGTCTCCCTTAGGGCTTCCCTTGTAGCTCGGTTGGTAAAGAATCTGCCTGCAATGCAGGAGACTCGGGTTCGATCCCTGGATCGGGAAGATCCCCTGGAGAAGGAAATGGCAACCCACTCCAGTATCTTTGTCTGGAAAATCTCACACACAGAGAAGCCTGGTGGGCTTCAGTCCATGGGGTCGCAAAGAGTCAGACACGACTGAGAAACTAACACACACCACACACACGCCCTTAATCAGGAAGAGCAAATCGACTAAATCTCTAGAAACTCATATCAATGGAGAAGACATGAAGTTATTAAGCCTGCATAACAACCATACCTTTGTTTACTGTGCTTTTCCCAATAAATGTCCTTAACTGTCCCCCACCCCCTACCCCACTCCCAAACATCTTCTTTAGTCTTCAGCTGGAAATAGTATTTAAGGTGATGGTTTGGGCCATTTTGGAGAGTTACTCAGTTTCCCTGGCTCTCTTTCATGTATGCAGGAGATATACAGGTTGTCAAACTTCTATTTTCCTCCTATTAGTCTGTGTTTTTATGATAGGGAGGTCTCAGCCAAGAACCTAGAAGGATAGAGGGGGAAAAAATTTCCTCCCCAAGTTATAAACTTAAAACTGCTCTAAAAAACTAAGTCCTTTTAAAAATGCAAAATACACACATACACACACAGTGGAAAGGATTCAGTGAAGAGGAAAAGGTTGAAAATATGGGAGAGA